GCAAGGAGAAAAAGTGTTGTGCTCAGAACACATCCCTGGGGGACACCTTCAGCTTGGATAAAGTCCGGGGAGAGCACATTATTAACCCGAACACAAAAATTCCTGTCAGTTAAAAAGTTCTTAAGGAAGGATGGTAGATTACCTCGAAGGCCTAAGGAGTGGGCTTGGGCTAAAATATTATACCTCCAAGTTGTGTCATATGCCTTCTCAAGGTCAAAAAATATGGCAATAACAGAGTGGTTATTCGTAAAGGCATTACGAACATACGTATCCAAGCGTAGTAAGGGGTCTATGGTAGAATGTCCCTTACGAAAGCCATATTGAGGAATGGAGAGACTGTTGTGTGTCTCTAAATACCACACTAAATGTCTATTTACCAGGCGCTCCATCACTTTGCAAACTGCACTGGTAAGAGCAATGGGACGATAGTGGGAGGCTTCATGTCCCGTAGTGCCTGGTTTGCGGAAAGGGAAAACAATGGCAGATTTCCACAGCTGTTGAAGAACTCCTTGTGACCAAATAAGATTGTAAAGGCGTAATAGGACTGCAAGGGCTGACTGATGTAAATGTTGTAGCATACGAATATGAATGTCGTCGGGCCCGGCTGCCGATGATCGGCAAGCTGATCATGTTGCCTCGAGTTCTTGAAGTGTAAAAGGCACATTATACTGTTCTTCTCTGAGAGAAGAAAAGTCCAAGGGTGCTAACTCTCTGGCAGACTTTGAGGAAAGAAACGAGGGGCATAGATGGAGTCCCTGAGAAATATGGACCAGATGATCAACATCTAGTGGGTTTGCTATATCAACACCGGCAACCCGCAGAACAGGAGCTGGGTCAGGAGAATATTTACCACTCAGTTTTCGTACTTTTTTCCAGACTGCACTCATAGAGGAAGCAGAGGTGATGGTGGAGACAATCTCGCCAGCAAGTGCGTTTAGCGTCACAGATGACATGGCGAGCGATCTCATGCTTCTGCTTAAAATCAAGAAGTCTCTCCATGGTTCTATTGTACCGGTACCTGCCCCATGCAGCGCGTTTGATCAAACATACTGCACGAGCACAGGCAGGAGACCACCAAGGCACGCATTTCTGAGAATGCCTGCCCAAAGTTTGGGGTATACAATTAGAAGCTACGGTTAAAACGGAGGACGAGAAGAGGTGTAAAAGCTCATCGATGGAGGATGAAGAAGGAACCTCTCTAAAAACAGTTAGGTGTGAGTAATGGTTCCAATTTGCCTGATCAAATTGCCAGCGTGGGATGCGAAGAGGTGGTGAATAGGAAGGGGAAGTAAGAATGATTGGGAAATGATCGCTGTCATGTAAGTCCGGGAGAACAGACCAAGTGAAGTCTTATGCGGCGGAGGAAGAGCAGACTGAGAAATCAATGCAAGAGAGTGAGAGTCCGAGGATCAAAATGGGTGTGAGTACCTGTATTTAAAACATGGAGGGGGTGGGTGGCAAGAAAAGCCTCTAACTGAATGCCACGGGAATCACAGTGAGACCCCCCCAGAGGAAGTGGTGGGCATTAAAATCGCCAAGTAACAGAATCGGTGGCGGTAATGACGAAACAAGAAAGGCAATATCCGGAATGGATAATGCCCGAGGAGAGAGATATAAAGAACAGAGCGTATACCACCTATGCAAGTAGATACGGGCTGCTGTGTAATGCAGCGAGGTATGAACAAATAGCTGATGGTACGGAATATCAGTGTGTAGAAGGGCACTTTCATTAAAGGTCCCATCAGGAAAAGGATCTGAAGAATACAATAAATTATAGCCTGAGATGGGAGAGATAACAGCAGAGTGTAATTTTGGTTCCTGTAAGAAAACACCAACAGGGGAAAACTGGGAGAGTAACATCTGAAGCTCACCCCTATTACCCCTGAGGCCGCGTATATTCCACTGTAAATAGGCCATGATTGGCAATGATAAAGATACCTGAAATCCCCAGGTAAGGGTTCCTACGGACTAGAGGGGTTAGAAAAGTCCACATGCAGAGGCAGTGGAAAACGTTCAAGCAGCGAAGGAACAGTGTGCTGTGAAGAAAGGAGTTGCGCAGATAGAGCAGAGGAGAGAGAAGGAGCGGAGGGTGGATCAGTGTCCATTGATGGTTTGGTCTCTGCAATATATTCAGAGATTGCTTCAAGTGTTTCGGAATTCAGAGACATCGTATGGGAGACAATATTGGAAATGGAAGGGGGAGGATGAGTAAAGATTGGAACTGTAATGGACTGTACCAAGGTAGGTGGGGGCGAAAGGGTGGAGGGAACTGGAGAAGCGTGGAAGGGGACAGAAGAGGCAGGAACCTGGGAGGTGGCAGAAGAGGAAGAAACTTGGGAGGGAACAGGGGAGGAAGGTACATTACGAGGAGGAGGTGAACCTCTGCACTTGTAACTGAGCCAGTGAGGGGGGAAAGAACTAGGGACAGAGACAGGGAGGGTAAAATGAGGAGGTGGAAGATGGGTAGGAGGTGTTACCGGACCTTCTTTTGACTTTTGAGAAGTAGAGGGACGATTGGGAGGAGGTGTCGTACAAGGTCTCGTCGATACTGAGGCTTGTGAGAGAGAACTCGAAGAAGCGAGATTAGACTGAGGCGTTGAAGTAGGGACGTCTGAGCCGAGGACAGCAAAAGGATTAGATACAGGAGTGATTATGGGAGAGGTAACCACAGAGGTGGGTGTAGAAGATGGGATACTAGAAGTGGGGGGACGTTTTGAAACACGGGAATAAGAAACACGTGGGAGTCTCCCTTGGAGGCGGAGATGAGAAACTGCCATGGCATAAGGGAGACCTTCTGTCTCTTTGAGGTAACGGATTTCCCGCTCGTTTAAATGGGACCTGACAACGGCGAGAGTACGAAGGGTGAGCCTCAGGGACAGTTAAGGCAAGAGGGAGATCGATTGCAAGACGTATTAGAATGGTCATCGGCACCACGGGACTGGGCATTTGGCGATAGATCTGCAATATTTCGCTGGATGGCCAAATCGCCAGCAATTTCTACACTGTTGTGGTGTAGGGATCACCTTTCGAACTTGTAACCGATTGTCCTGCTATATAAACTGAGGATGGGAGTTCTCGGCTGTCAAAAGTTAAACGAGCCACATTGCTAGGGTATCGTCTCCGCCCACGGGCAGGAAGAACGCAAGTGTCTACCTTGAGGATTGGGAGATCTTGGAGTTCCAGCTGTTCTAGAAAGTCAGTGCCACATGTCTGGAAATTTTGTTGAACTATGGTATGGGGCAGAATGACGGTACCACTACAAGAATTGAGGGAATGATGTTTTTCAAGAGTGACAGGAACAGTATCGATTTTGGGAAAGGACGAGAGAGCTCATGAGCCTGGGTAGCATTCTGTACGGTAATGATGCGCGTACGCTCTTAAGAGCATGAAAAGAAATATCTTTACCAACATGGCGTAGGAGTGCCTTGCCAATACTATGGTCAGAAAGATAGGCAGTAGAGGAAGTTGGTCGTAAAGTGAAGAATTTAGCCACTGTTCAGTCTGAAACTGAGCGTGGAAAGGTAGTGAAGGACGTGTCGATCGTTTCTGAGAAGAACGAGAAGGTGGAGAAGTATCATCAGCAGGTAATTGTCGTTGGCGTTTAGGTGTGGGACCAGAGTTGGTCTGACGTGGAATGGGTCGGCGATTTGAAAAATTGCCGCACCGTAGGGAGAGGCCGGAAGCATAGTCAGAGGAGAGCGAAGGTCCCATAAATCGAAGGAGTCAGTCGAGGCCTCAGTACCTGAAGTGGGTGAGGAAAAAAGCACCGGCAATAGGTACAGAGGCATGAGGAATGTCTGAAGAGTGGTCCAAAGGGCGAGGCGGGGTCAGAACGGGGTGCGGTATCAAGAAGGGGCCCGGGGGTACCAGGTTCATGGACTAGGGCTGCCATGGTTAGGTTACTTCTTTCTTTTTGTTTTTAAGAAAAAAAAAAAGAAAGAAAATAAAATAAAAAAGAAAAAAAAAAGGGGGTACGGGGAGGGATAAGGTCCTAGGAGGAATAAAAGGGCCAGAAATCTCCCTCCGCGCCCAAGAGGACCTCAGCACCGCAAGTAGCGCAGATACAGCATGGAACCGTGCCATACCCTACCCATCATGTAGTAAACTAACAATCCGGGATAGCAACCTCACATCTGCCGAGCTACCTCGGTGGACAAAAGAGAGGGCGGCCGGATATCCGCCACAAAGCATACTCCTTCGGCCACCACCCCGGAATCCAAAAGGTGGCTTCCAGAGATACACTCGTCGCCCGAAAGACACCCAAAGCTACTCCGGGATACCGGAGAGGGATCGGGACATCCCCAGGCGATCCAGATTCCACGGCAAACTACGCCACCGCTAAGAACCTCAACGGAATGGGATGGACCCCAGTATCCTTTCTCCTACCTAGGAACTAGCGTGCCTGTGGGAGAAATCCCAAAGGACAAAAAGAGGAAGGGCAAAAGGGAGGAGTGGGGAGGAGGAGGAGGAAAGGAAAAAGGGGAGGATGGGGAGGATGGGATAGGGGAGGGGAGATTGGGGGGTAATTAGGTTCGGTCTGAGGAAGAAGACCGATAGGTCTAATTCCTCAGACCAAGAGCCTCTTCACCACGCCAAGGAGCCCCCCTTGAAGAGGATAAGAGTAAGTAGATGGTTTTTATGGCTTGACATGATGTTGGTGTGTGTGCAGGGTAACAATTTATGAAGGAATTCAGGGACACCGGCAAGCCAAATTTGAGTCCTGGAGATGGGAAATACAGTGCCTGTTCTCTGAAGGAGGGGTGTTCATGTTTGTTTTTTAACTGTAGTGTAGCCGTGCCTCTGGCAAGTCAATGATGGAGTAAATGATGGTGCTTCTTCCTTTTCAGGTCACCCTGCCTTTGTGGGAAATGGCCAATGTGTTAAAAAAAAATATTTTCTTCATAATATTCACACCACACATTGATATTTATACATTTGTGATGCACCTAGTATGTGTTTTTATATCAGAAACAATCAATACATACTGATTTATTTTACAGGTACAGTATTATAAAGTGAGTGCCCAAAGAACAAATTCACATCTTGACCCAACATGACCTCCAAGAAAGTGAACACTGCATCCACTGCCAATCCTTTACCTAATTTCTTAATGTTGGTATGCTACTGTCACTCCCTCTGCAATGACTGTTTATATCACTTGAGTTATTGAAAGTCTTTATGCACAGTTTGCCTCGTGACATTATCAATGAAAGAGTTCACTTCAACAGTGTAACCTAGTTTCAGATATCTCACTTATGTAACTCAATCTTTGTCTGCTTAGGTTCATTCTATCACAAAACAGACTTGTAGGTAACATTAGGAAGTGTTATAGGATTAGTAAGACACGTGTGACTATTTATTATAAAGTTTCAAATGTTACTTTGTTAAGTTTAGTTTGTTTTTCAGGAACAAAATCTTTTGTAATAAAATATAAAAATGAAAGTTGTTTTTGAATTTGAGAACACTGATCTACTATCTTCTCCTAATGAATTATTATTATTATTATTATAATCAAAAAGAAGCGCTAAGCCACAAGGACTATACAGCGCTGCAGGGCAGGAAGGAAGCGGGGGCATCGGGGGCAAAAGGGGATGGTGAGTAATGGGTTAGGAACAGCGGGGCAGTGGGGTGAAAGGGAAAGGGCGCAAGATTATTATTATTATAATCAAAAGAAGCGCTAAGCCACAAGGACTATACAGCGCTCGGGCGGGAAAGGGAAAGTGAGGGCATCAGGGGAAAAAAGGGAGAGGATGAGCAACGGTTAGGATAACGGGGCAGTGGAGGGTTTGAAAGGGTAAAGGGCGAAGAGACTGAACTAAAAAGGGTGAGGGGAGTGCGAAAAGTATACGGGTTTTGTGGAGTAAATCAGTCGTTGTAAAGGAAAGGGTCAATGGAGAGTCAGGTTTAAAGGGGGTCCATCAGCAAAAAGGGGAAAAGGTAAAGAGGAGTGTAGAACGAAGAGACGCGGAGGTAATTTGCGTGCTGTTGTGAGAGGGCAGTCTAACAAAATGTGGCTTCGTACTGGAATTGAAAATGCTCACAGAGAGGAAAGGGTGCCTTCCATGAGATCCCATGAGTAAGACGAGTTGGCCAATGCGAGGGGGGAGAGAGGGCCCCCAAAACCTGGCATGATGACAAGAAGACGGCCAGAAACCCTTGCTCGGTTTAATAGAATGAATTTTGTTCCCGAGAGATTTGACCAACGTTGTTCCCAAACGGGGGGAAAAGGGGGGTAGTATTGAGCAAATAGCCCAAAAATGGAACCCCTGATAGGAAATTTTTAGGTCATGTATGCTGACGCGCAGCAGTGTCTCCCGTTCATTCCCCTGACTCGACATGACCAGGGCCCCCAACAAAAAAACAATATCTTTATGTTTGGTAGAGTTTACGGCGTAGCAAAGTTGGATACGGAGAAACTGGGGATGAGATGTATCAATTTTCGTATAGCCTGTAGAGCACTAAGGGAGTTGGACTATAAAATGATGCAAGGATAGATGCGATACGAATAAGGCTGAAAGAATGGCTTACGTTCGCAGTAAAAATGCTAGTGAAGATGTAAATGCCCCCGCAGACGCTGCCCGGAAAACTGTGCAAAATCCCGCCGTCTGAAGATTGGCCATCTGTTACACAGCGGGGGCATGAAAAGGGGAGTGGAAGTGATCAAGAAAAAAAAGGCGGGAAGCCCAAGGGGGGTTTGAGTTTTTGAGCGGGGTGAGAAAAAACAGACCCGAAAGCGGAATTCCCGGGGGGGGTAGGGAAAAGTGAAGTGTACCAGAACATAAAAAGGGGGTAATAAAGGTAAGACAAGAGTAAATGTAGGCGAAGGGAAAAGGGACGGAGCAAACAGGGGCGGCGAAGAATAAAGAATGTTACTAATATCGGGACCATTCTAAAATGGAAGGTTGTGTAGATCGTGAGAGCGTACATAGTAGCGAAGGCCCCAATGGGCACCCGGGCGATCGACAAGGAGGAACTTTTGTTTTTGTATAGAGGCTCTCAACGGGGGAAGAGCGAAAAGCACCAAGGGCACAAACGTAAGCCTTGGTGATGGATGATTTAAGGCTAGAGAGATAGCAGGAGAGGCCGCGGAATAAATTTGGTCCCTAATCGAGTTTCGATAAAACGGGGCTAAAATGTAGGGGAAGCAGATTTGGGACGACAGCTCCCAGGAAAGAGGCAAGGGTTTTAAGAAGGTTTTAGATGGCTGTGACAAGTTGCCTTCAGGAGGTAATGTGAGGGTTTCCCGGATAAGACGGTCAAAAAGAAGGCCCAGAAACCGATGTATCACGTTCGGGGTTACGGGAGCCCTAGAGATACAAAGGATGATCGGAAAATAAAGAGCGTCTAGTGAAAGTTAAAATTTTGGGGGAGTTTTGGGACTTGAAAATTTTTAAACCATGCGTGGTGGCCCAAATGGAAACCGGTGACTGCATGCTGGGAGGGAAAATGCAAAAGGTCAGTCGCGCCGGCACAAGAATAGCGAAGTCTCAAAAATAGAGTGATGACCCAATTTTGGGTGGAAGAACAGGCCTCAAATTTTAAACAAGGAGAAAAAAATGGTTTTGCTTAGAACAATCCTGGAGAGAGAGTTTACCTGGAGAGAGTTTCGGGGTCAAAAGGCCCCGCGGGCCCGGTTGTGACCCGGCCTCCTTGGGGATCAGCGCTGATCAACCAGGCTGTTGCTTGGCTGACGAAACCCAAAGTCGGCCACGCCCCGGGTGATGGAACTGACTTTAGGGCTTGTCCAGTGCCACTTGAAGACTGCCCGGGGGTTTTTGGGAATCCCCCCCTTTTGTGTGTGGGAGGCGTGAAAAAGTTCGGGCCCCTGCACTTTTGTATGGTTCTTAAGTGCTAGTACACCCCCCGCTTTTCATTGGGGGGGTGGTGCATGTTCCAAGTCCCCGAGGGAACCTTTGCTTGGCGAAGTCCGGGGAAAGAACTTATGACTCGAACACGGAAAGTTGTCATTTAAAAAAATCCTTAAGGGGAAAGGGTGGTGATTGCCTTGGAGGGCCCAAGAATGGGCCCGGGCCAAAAAATTATACCCCCCAAGTTTGTATATGCCTTTTCAAGGCAAAAAATATGGCAATAACCGGGGTGATTTTTCGCAAAGACATTTCGAAATACGTATCCAAGTGTATAAGGGGCTTGGTAGAACGACCCCTTTTGAAAACCATATTGACTAGCAGAAGATGTTGTGAGTCTCTAAAAACCAATTAAACGTCGATTTACGGGCGTTCCATCACTTTGCAAACTGCATAGTAAAAGCGATGGGGGAAATGGGGGGCATCATGTCCCGTAGTACCCGGTTTGCGGAAAGGGAGAAAAGGCAGATTTCCACAGCTGGGGAAACTCCTTGTGCCCAAATAAGATTGAAGAGGTGTAGAGGACTACAAGGGCTGACCCATGTAAAATGTTGTAACTACGATATGAAAGTCGTCAGGCCCGCTGCCGATGATCGGCAAGCTGAGAGCGTTGCCTCCTTTCTTAAAGTTTTAAAAGGCACATTATATTTGTTCTTCTCTGAGAGAAAAAAACCCAAAGGGTCCCTAACCTCTGGCGGGATTTTGAGGAAAAAAAACGGGGGCTTGATGGAGCCCTGGGAAATTTAGGGACTAGATGTGTCCCAAAAGTTCAATGGCAACGTCGAGGGTTTTGCTACATAAAACCCCAGGGACCCGTTGGGAACAGGAGCCGGGTCAGGAGAGTTTTTTCCCAAAAAATTTTCCTCATTTTTTTCCGACTGCACTCATAGAAGAAGCAGAGGTGATGGGGGGAAAATTGTCTCGCCAACAAGTTTTTTTTACCCTTCCGGATGACACGGCGAGCGATCGCAGGGCTTTGCTTAAACCACAAGTCTTTCCGCGGTTCTATTGTAGGGGTTACCCCCCCATGCGCACATTTCAAATTTACTGCCGGGGAAAACAAAGGAAACCCCCAAGGCACCCCACTTCTGAAAATCCCCTTGCCTGAGGTTTGGGGTTTAGAATGAAAAGCTGGGGGTATAAACTGATGTGGGAGAAGATGTGTAGGAGCTCATCAATGGAGGATGGGAAAAAGGAAACCTCACTAAAAGCAGGGGGGGGTGAGTTAAAAAAAAAAAAAAATCCCCAAATTTTCCGATCAAAATTTCCAGCCCAGGGGTACGGGGAAAAAGGGGGTTTTAAAAGGGAAAAGGGGAAAGGGAAAAAATGAAAACTGGTTTGAAAAGACCAGGTGAAGTTAGTGCAGGGAGGGAAAAAGGGAGACTGATGATCGATGCAAGAGAGGGGTATGAGTTCGAGGTCAAAATGGGTGGGAAAGTACCCCCTATTTAAAAACAGGGGGGGTGGGGAGGCGAGAAAAAAACTCCTAATGAAAAAAAAAAAAAAAAAAAAAAACATATTTTACAAGACTTAGAAATAAATTGAATAGTCATTTATTACTGAAATTAATTTTTGTGCCTAGGGGTGACATTGCTAGACATCAATTTCACAAGATGAACATTTCCTAATGAAGAATTACATTATCGAGGTTAAAAACTAAGAACAGCACAAAATTTAACAATGCCAAGAAATGAGAATTTCACCATATTGTAAAAAAAATGTGTGTGTGTAAGGACTACTCAACTAAATCAGCAATCTTGCAGCTGCAAGTCCATGACTATATTGACAAAATTCTGGTATTCTGCTGCTGTTAGGCTAGCTGTTATTTTTTATGTAATATATTAGTAATGATTTTTTTTTTTAAGATAAAGCCATTTTTGTCTGCATCTGATATATTACAAAGGATCATATTTCTTCACTACTTGTATCAACGAATCTAATCACTATATTGATGAGGCATGCTACACCTGGGGAATGGGAAGCATTCAGGGGTACGGCAACGAAGGGGAGGGGAGGGGACGGTAGCTCCAAATTGATGAAAAACATTTGAAGCACTTGGGTTTCTTTACTACCAAAACTTTTCGCTTGCACAACAGGCTTCTTCCGTCAAAGACAGGAAGCAGTCGAAGTAGCATTGATGTTATCAGTCCATCACTTGGTGGGAGGTTGTCAGTCCCTGAAGCAGCCTGAAGTGCAAGCAAAACATTTCCATAATGAAGATACTCAAATATTGCAAACGAGTCCTGTTCAGTAACTTGTTGGTATTGCATATTATAAAAAATATGATAGCTCCAAATTCTCAGATCAAGACACCCTCCCTATTATGAAAGCACCCTCTTGAAAGCTAGGAAAAAGATATATATATACAGTGGACCCCTGGTTAACGATATTTTTTCACTCCAGAAGTATGTTCAGGTGCCAGTACTGACCGAATTTGTTCCCATAAGGAATATTGTGAAGTAGATTAGTCCATTTCAGACCCCCAAACATACACGTACAAACGCACTTACATAAATACACTTACATAATTGGTCGCATTCGGAGGTGATCGTTATGCGGGGGTCCACTGTGTATATA